AAGGGAGGGAGGGAGGGAAAGGGTTGACTGCCTCGCCGTGTATCGAGGTTAAAGAGCATGACATGGAAATATCTCCTCCCGCTCCGCCCTCCTTCCCTCCAGCCTCGGTGGTATTCATCGGGCAAGTCATCGCTCCTGAACGGAAGGTACTGGCGCTCTTCCCCGTCTTTTTCTTCTACACCTTTCTGGCCTGGCTGGTGCTCATCCAATAAGCGCCCGGGCTCCAAGCACCCTGACCATTAAATTTCATGGTAGACAAATAAGAGGACATCGCCGGGAGACTCAGAGGTTGAGAGGGAGGGAGGGAGGGGAGGCATTCCCAAGCCAGACTGTGCTCGTTCATGAGCAGGAGGAGAGCGTGTGGTTCAACACAATCATGTCGATCGTGGATTTAAAATTTTAAATAAGCGTTCCCGCCCCTTGCCCACTGGACCGAACAGTCGTCCGCGCGAGCCAAACAAAGGAAAGAAAAAGCACTGTCAACCTTGCCATGTCGGGCGCTGTCAGGCACTTCCACAGCAGTGCCCCTCGTCGATGCCGTTCTCGAATTTCTTGTTCTTTGTTCACGTTAACCCGTAACACAACCCCTTCCCACTATGTACCACTCCTTGCCCCCCTCCCTCCCTTCCTCCCTCCTTCCCGTCCTCCGTCCCTCCCTCCTCCCCTACCCCCTACACCGCCATGCTCTGCTCTAATTCCTTCAACGCCCTTAGCTCCTCCTCGTCCACGCCCTCCAACGCCTCCAGTCCCGGACTTGCCACTGGCTTGTTCGTAGGGACGGCCGGTAATTCCGGAAACGGCTCGGGAGCCGTTTCCGCCATCCCGGGTTTAACCGGCAGTGACGCTGGGACTTGCGTCAGCTTCGCCTCCGTTTCCTCCTCCACCATCGCGTCCAGTTCCGCCAGCAGGTCGTCGTCGTCCTGCAAGCCCCCGTCCAAGGGGGTGGAGATGGCCTCGGAGATGTGGGTGGCTGTGTCCATCTCTTCCCGGATGTCATCCACCAAGTCGTCCACCTTGTCCACGTCCATGGCGCCCCGCATTGCCCCCATTGCCTTGGCGCCCGTCCTGCAAGGAGCGTGCAGAGATACATCAATGAAAAATATCCGTACCAAGCGAACATGTGCACAAGGAGGTCCGCGACCCAGGACAGGGCAAAGGGGTTGCCTCATTTGCATGAAGCGCGGCAGGACCGGTTGCACCTCCCCGCTTTCACGCCGGACTCCACCTCTCATTCAATGACAATGACATCAAAATAAAGAGGGAGGGAAGGAAAAAGGGAGGGAGGGAGGGAGGGAGGGAGGGAGGAAAGCGACGTACCTCATGGCCCCGAACACCTCCATGTTGGTCGCCGACCCTTCCAAGGACATCGCCTGACTTTCCAAATTCATCATCGCCCCCTGAATCTTGATCACTTCTGCCTCGTACATCTTCTTCTTTTTCAAGGCAAAGAGGGCCCCGTTTTTATCCTTTCGCGCCATTTTCCCCTTGGCCTCCCTCACCATCATGTCCATCTTCTTGGAAATGTACGCCTCCCGCTTGGTTAAGGTTTCCATCGTGCCGCGAAGCTTGATGATGGCGTCCCCAGGATTCGGGGGCGGCCCTGCCGTCTTCTTCTTCCCAAACAAATTCATCCGGAAGCGCCTGCTAGACAAAGGAGTGAGATAGGGGGAAGGTGAGAGAGCCTGGCGTCCGAAAGCAAGGAGTTCGAGGCCTGGCAGGAGCCCTCACAGACGTTTGAGCTTGTGAACAAAAACTGGAATTGAAGCGACAAGGACTCTCTCCTCCCTGTCGAGCGTGGTAAGCCTCGCTTTTCGACTTTGGGCGATTCCCACATGATATTGGGCTTGTCAGGGCATCGGTTAGGAGCAATTTTTTCGATCAACAGTTGTATGTGGTCAGACAAGTGACGGTGCGATCGATACACTCGCAAGATCCTTTAATAAGCACGGAGTTATCCTAAGATACATGGCGCATAGACGGTCACATGCAGTACGCTGTGGGGACTTTAAATAGATCAGCGCCCACATAGACCGCATTCACGCATGACACGGACCACTTGCGTGTCACACAAATGCCACATGGCAGATGATGCGGAACGGCAGTGTGAAAAGTAGCCCACAGAAGGTCGCGGCTCATAGGACCTTTAGCGGACTGGCTACCCAGGCTACTACCAACATGCCACAGGCGTCGAACCCACGCATATATTTCAACCGGTCTTGTGCATTGTCTGCGCCCTAGAACAGTCGTGGCTAAATGTGCGACGGGCGGGCAAGACAGACTCTCTGGCCTGGAAAACTCTGGACGATGATGCTAACGGATAGGCCTTTGGGAGCTCTCGAAACCGCAGGGAAAGCAATGCATCCTCCCGCGCGTTCAGACCCCAGCCCTCAAATCATGCCCTGTATGCTCATGAAGGAAGAATGTGAGTGCCGAGAAACGCCTGTACCGTGTATTTGAGGCGGAAAGAATAAGTGGATGTTTCGCCTCTGTGTAGAATCAAAATCAGGGACGGAAGCACGGCGCTCGCCCGGGGAGGGTATTCCGAGTCCGCGATCGTGCGTCTGCGAAAACTGAGCCTGGCCTGGACAGCGCTCTACTTGGCTGCATAGAGGGCTTGGCTGAGGAATGGAAACAGGAGAAGCGTTCAAAATGCGTGTGTGTCGTGGTTTTGCGGAGGCGAATACCTGTCTCCTTGGCCAAGTCTGAAGTGCTCTCCACCTCCCTCTCTTGGAACATGACTTCTGATACGACTATTCCCCCTCACATCTCCATGCCACATCAAGGACTGCGCAACTTGTGAGGCCCTTCACATACTGTATACATAAGAGAGCGAGTGGCGTCCTTCGTGGAAGCGGGAGGAGATTTGCGAGCGGGTGTACGCCTATTACTGAGACAAGCACCGCGAGGATGGAAAGCCTCACCCGGATTGTTACAAATACCCTCAGAAACCCAGGAGGAGTCACGAAACTGTGGTCTTTTTCTTTGGCCGATCCCTCTCAAGGAAGACGGGAACGACCACATAAGGTAAGCGGGTTGAAAGGAAGGAATGCTGGTGTTGGAGGACGAGCAAGCAGTAGGGAGAAAACCATATTGTCGCTTCACCTGTGCCGACGCGCGCAAGGAAGAGGTGCATCGCCACACGAATCAACGCGCGGCCCTGAGAAACGGAATACGAGTTCAATTGACATTATCTTAGGCCACGAGAAGCTTCCTTTGCTTGTTAAAGGACGTCGCTCCTACTCCCTCATCTTCCCATCCCTTCCCTTCCCCTCCCCTAGCTCGTCCTCCGCCACAACAAACTCTCGGGGACGCGCTTCGTGGTCTTGGACGGCATTGAGGTGCCCGGCACCCGGGGCACGACTTCCCTATTGAACGCAGTGGAGATATTGTTCAAGGTCGATGACGCTACCGCCACCGTGAGCATTACCCCAGACCTGGGTGCGGGCGGGTTTATATATAGGTAAGGAGCAGGGGCTTGAAGATACGAAACAAATGTCGGACCAGCCACTGACCTTCCTCCCTACCATCCACCCTTCCTCCCTCCCTCCCTCCCTCCCTCCCTCCTTCCCCCCCCTTCCCCACAGCTGTCGCGTGGGAGCTCGACTCTTGACCGAGCAGGCGGATGTATTGGAGGTCTCCGACATGGGTAGCAGTCTCCCGCACATGGAGGACGTGGGCGGTGCCGCCAATGGGAGCGGTAACGGTCACGAGGCAGGGCGGGTGCCTGTGCGCGTGATGGTCCCGGAGTTCCGGACGCAATCCAGCGAAGGGAAGCTCATTGTGCATTACAAGGTGGTTTGCACCCTTCGAGGGGCGGGGCGGGCGGGCGGGAAGGAGGGAGGGAGGGAGGGAGGGGAGGAGGGAGGGAAGGAGGGAGAGGTGGTGGTGTTCCGCAGGTACCGGGACTTTGATAAGCTGGATCGACTCGTGCGCTCCGCCTTCGCGGGCTCCCACCTGTTGAGCAGCCTTCCCTCCCTCCCCATCAAGGTCCTGAACCCCTTTGCCGATCAGTCCGACCCGCTCTTTATCGAACATCGCCGTCAGGAGTTGGAGGTCTACCTCCAGCGGTTGATACGTATGCCCAAGGCCTCCCATAACCCAGATTTGCTCCGATTTTTCTCGTTGCATCCGGTGACAGGACAGCCGTTAGATCCAGGCGACTTGAACTTGCATGTGGAGCTGCGATTCTGACGGTGGAGGGGATGGAAGGGTCCGAGGAACGGGCGTAGGAGGGGGCGGAGGGAGGGAGGGAGGGAAGGAGGGAGGGAGGGAAGGAGGGAGGATCGTGGTGTACAGAGAGAGAGGGGGGCGCGTGGGTCTGTCGCTGGAGGCTTTGTGTGGTCCTGCTCGCTTCCCGGGATCGTCTCCTGTTTCCCGCCCAGTGGGCGGCCATGGGAACAATCCCGGGGGCGTGAGAGTCATGAAGACTGTGTTGATACGTGTACATTGATCGAGTCGGGGCGGTTTTGATAGTAAACACGGAATGCATTGACGTAATGTAAGGGCCCCGCCCACGTGAAGGCGCGTGACGCTCTACTTGACTTGCGTTGGGTGATTATTTTACGCTATACATCGTCGTGCTTCTCATCTGTGTCGCACGTTTGCGTCCTCCAGATCGCCTTCGCCGCGACGGCCAAATCCATGACACAGTCCAACGCCTTTACAAAGTCTTTCTGTGCTTCTCGGACCTCTGGGGACGGAAGTGCACCGGCTAATATCACGAGGAGATCTTCCATCCTCGTTGGTGGGGGGTCCACACCGCCCACATCGCTCGGGTGCGACCCACACTTCGCGAAGACAAGCCGTTCTCCATGCACACGTCGTGCAGCCCCGATATCCTCTCGAATGAAACTACTTTCCAATACGCCACCTGAAGTGGGACGCATTCTAGCCCGGGACACAAGGAGGAAGGCTCGCTTCAAGTAGACTCTGAGCTTTTCTTGGGCCTCAAGATAATCCCCAGACGCGTCATAAGCGGCCAGAACCCTCTCAGGAGAAAGCGTTGCGGTGTGTGCAGGGTCAAGAGCGCCATCTCCCCCCATGATGCACAGAATTAGATAAGATTTTATCCTAGCTTGGGGCCTACCGTCCTCTCCCACGCACAAGTAGCTTTGGTCCTGCTCTCTCTAGGCCCTAGAGATCTGACAGTGGAATCAGTGGCAGAAGATTTCTGATGAGGAGATCTAGGAAGGTCATGAAACAAAGGAGGAGGATTAGATGCACATTGCGCCAATACTGAGCATTGGGAGTTTCTGTAGGACGACTGGCAGCTCCTCTTAGTAGCTGGCTCCGATCCCGTCACGATCGGCATTGCCCCTTGTCCGATGCCTGATGTATCGACTCACACGCACTGCACTGGAGTCATCACCTTTACACCAGTCAAGCCTGTTCGAGCCCCTCTCACTCGAACACTGGAGATGCGTGTTTCAGAGGGAGGTATAGGCACGTCAGGGTATCGCCGAGCGCCGCCACGAAGACCGCGAGCAGAACAAGCGAAAGCTTCTGCCATATCAGCTCGAGCACATGGCCCGCCTCACCTCCATTTCGACGCCTCTGTCTCCCTCAGGAAAGTTGCCGGGGCCATTGAAAGCACGGCATGGCGCAGGAATACGGGCTGCAAGAGCCACGTTCACCCAGCATGGAACAATGCTTTGCCGAGAAGCTCCGACTCACAGTTGAGGTCGACCCAACCCCCCCCCCTTTGACCATCGGCTCAGAGAGCGCCTTCAGTCCCCTTCAATTGGAAATCCCGACGGATCATGGCAACAGCACCAGCAGTGGAGATTGTGTAAGCGATGACACCAGCAGTGTCGGTGACGGACGGGTGTGCGAGGATTGGTCCTCGGCCGCCTCCTCTTCGTCCTTGCGGCCCCATAGTGGACGGAAAAAAGGTGCCAAGGATGCGAAGACGCTTTGTATATCCAAAAGTGGATCGATACACATTGGAGGCTTCGAAATACGAAAATCAGGCCTCTTCCAGAAAAATACGCCGAATGACCTATACGCTAACCAATCTTCAGTGACCTCAACCCCTCCGAAGTCGTCCGGAGGACGGGAGAAACGCACTGGTGGCACCCCTCTCTCGCTCACCCTCGACGAGGGATCGGTCGCTACAAACGACATGGCTTCGTGTCCTTCCAGCGGCGGCAGCCTAGGTGCGCACGGCTGTGCCGACGAAACCCCCGGGCAGGGCCTACACGACTGCCTGGTCCCCTTGGGAGTGTTAGGCCGTGGCGCGGGTGGGAGCGTCTGGCAAGGCATTCACGTCCCCAGCCTGCGCCTGGTGGCCGTCAAGACCATCCCCGTCTTTGAAGAAGGGAGGCGGCTTCAGATGGTGCAGGAGCTCCGGTCCTTGTACTGGAATCTCGCGCCTTTCCTGCCTCCCTCCTCCTCCCTGGCGCCCTCTCATTCCCCCCCCCGCACCACCCCGGCCTCCCCTCCCCCGTTTCCCTCCGCGGCAGACGGCCCGGGACCGATCGGTGGGACGGGCGGGCGTGGAGGACAAGGGCTTGTCGGCGAACCATCCGGACAGGTCCTGATTGGCACAGGAGCACACCGCGGAAGTCCCGTGGGGGGTATGGACGCAGGCGCTTCCCGAGGGGGAGGAGGTTGCCCCCAGCTTGTCTCCTTCTACGACGCCTACGCGAATCCGCGGGAAGGCACCGTGAGCATAGTCCAAGAATTCATGGACGCAGGCTCGCTCCAAGACGTGGTCGACGCCGGGGGCTGTGCGGACGAGGCCGTCCTGGCCCACATGGCCCGCGAAGTCTTGCTAGGCCTGGCGTACCTGCACGCACGCCGGCAAATCCACCGGGACATTAAACCCGCCAACCTCCTCCTGAATCACCGGGGCGAGGTAAAAATCAGCGATTTTGGGCTGGTCCGGCACTTCGATGCCAGTATCTCCCGGGCGGATACTTTTGTCGGGACCTTCACTTACATGTCGCCGGAGCGAATTTGTGGTGGGGAGTACGGGTATTCCGCGGATATTTGGGGGGTGGGTCTGACGCTCGTGACGTGTGCTCTTGGACAATTGCCTTACGAAGACGCAGGAGGCTACTGGGAGCTTGTCTCCGCGCTCAAGGAAAGGGAACCACCGTCCCTCCCGCGCTCGGAATTTTCCTCGGAGTTTCGGGATTTCGTTCGGCAATGTTTGAACAAAGAGCCGAGCAAACGGCCTACGGCCCGTTACCTGTTGGACCGTCATCCCTTCTTGCGACAAACAAGAAGGGCCGTGGGCCAGAAGTCACCGACCGTGTCAGCTGCTGCTCCCGAGATTGGGGATACCAAGCACGTTGAGAGAAAAGGACTCGGGAGAGTGGAATGGGAGGAAGAGGAGGCGGGGGAGGATGTGGGAGCTGGATCGACGAGCGCGCGGAGGGAACTGTCGGACATCCTGGAAGCGGTTAAATCCTATTATCGGCGCCTGTGGCAAGACATGGGCCTCCATGGCAGCAGCAACACCCACAGCAGCAACAGTCAGGGCGGCGATGACCCGGACGTAAAGAAAGGGGGAGCACTCATGTTGCCCAACGCGCAAATGGAGGCATTGAAGGGGCTGGCAGGACAACTGGGTCTTCCCTTAAGGGTGGTTCGCGCCGCTTTTCGGCAGATGTTGCATGAGATGATCAAGGAGCAGTGCATGGAGGCCGGGGCGGAGGAAGGGGAGGAAGACGGGCAGGCATGGGGGCGGGAGTAGGCGGACGAGAGAGAACGGGCGTCCGAAGGCGTGTGGGAGACGAGGTCATTGCACATTTGTATAAAGGTATCCCCAAAATGCGTCTTTACAAAAATTGAACGCGCGCTGTGTGCCGAAGTGGCCAGGCGGAAATGTAAATGGGCCGCCAAACCCCGCCCGTACACATGGCGAAAGAAAATTTTGACAACACGTACAGAAGGACGGGTAAAGATCCCGGCTCCCGTTTTTATTGAAGAGGGTGCGCCGCCGGTGCAGGGCCTACAAGGGGACAGCGAGGGTGGACGTCGACCCCAAGCCGAGGCCCGTGCTGTCTGGCCCGTGTCCCCTTATGACGAGTAGGCGCCCGTCTGCCGTTCATAACCCCGTCCGTCGTGGTCATTTCTTTTTTTTCCCAGTCTCAATCAATCAATCAACCTTGCTGATTGTCCTCGACATAGCGCTGTGTTCACGTTTTCAAAAAGCCCGTCAGGATGTGTGCCCGTCCTCCAACTTCTTCCACCCCTCTGTCTTTTCGAAGGCTTCATGTGTCCATTACGTCGCTGCCTTTTGATAGCGTACTGATTTCGACCGCTATTTCACATACGAACACGCATGCTCACTCAGGCATTCTTGGCCCGTTGCACACCACATCCAACTCTCCTTTCCACTCCCCAGCCGCTTTTTACATCTCTACTTTCCATATTATTTTCTCCTATCCCCGGACGTCCGAACAGCGAAAAAAAAATGCCGAGGCACCTTCGGTCACTTCTCCCAATGTAACCCCGTGGCCCATGCAAGCCAAAGGGTCGGTCCACCTCACGTCCCTCCACCCAAGGCAGGGAGGCTGACACCCGCCTCCTCGTCCGTTTCTATGCCCATCATATCGATGATGTCGATCACCCGTTTCCCCGCCCCGTCGGCCACGCACTCCACGGCCTCCATCGCCTGTCGCTTGCGCGCGGCCCAGATCTTCCTGAAGGATCCCGCCTCCTCTTCCAAGCGCTTCATTTGGAGCTTATCCATGGGCGCCCTGCCTTCTCGCTTCCCTTCTTTCAGCCGGAGTTCCTCCAGCGTCTTCTCGCGCGCCGCATTTTCTGCCGTTAATGTCGTCAAGGCCGTCTCCAAGGCAGTATCGTCCAGACCCTGGTTCAACCTCCGGACCTCGCCCTCCAGGCTCCCTTTCCTCCCCGTCCACTGGCTTTTCTCTTCCTGCAAGGCCTTCCACCGGCTTTCCAACGCGGCCGTTTCGCGGGCAAGTTCTGTCGGGTCGAGGGCTGGGGGCGGGGCCACGTATATCTTGGATTTCCCGAATTCTTTCCGGGTGATGGCGCCACTGTCAGCGAGTTGATCCAGCACGGTCTGCACGGTGCCCTGAACAAAAAGAAGAGAACCGGGAGGGTTCCAGGGAGGGAAAGACAGCGTTGCAGCATTGCAGTCAGCCACAGGGTCGGTCGATGTCCTCATCCAAGTCTTCCACACTCCCTCGTTTCCTCCCTCCCTCCCTCACGCGCACCCTACCTTGCCGATGGTCTTGTGCAGGTTGTCAAAAACATTCTGAGCCCTGTGTGCAAAAGAAATGCAAAGAAGAGGGCAGTCGCACGTTCAGTGGTCAAGGAGGGAGGAGAGCAGGTGGGGTCAAAACCAGAAGCGAGCAAGGAGGGGAAAGACACAGGAAAGTCCACCCACCCGTAAGGCCGCGCGGCGTTAATCATGTACTCAAGGATGACACTTTTGGCATCCCCCGCCCGGGCTTTCGGCTTCTCGATGGCTGCAGTGAGCTTATCAGCGTTGGGACATGGGAGGGGGGGGGAGGAAGCAGCCCTGCTAGTTCCCGGTGTCAATTTGGTGTCACGCGCCTCGGAGGGGGTATGGGAGGAGGAAGAGGCAGGGTCCGGACCCTCTTTCGTACTTTCAGCCGCGATGGTCGGAGAGTTTTCGGCTTCAATCGTCCCGTCTTCGACTTCCATATCACTCGCACCGCGTTTGCTGCTGTTGCCAGTTTTCTTCTTTGCCATGCCCTTGGCAGGGTAGTCAGGCTTTTGATTCGACGACGTTGCTTTGGCTGCCTTACTGGAGAAATTCAGGGCAGGGGAAGCCGGACTGGAAGACGCCTGTCTTTTTTTTTCTTTGTCCCCGGCGCCGGGGGCAGGTCCGGGACGCTTTTGAGTGGGCGCTTTGAGGGCTTTCGAGCCAGATGCCGGATGAGAGACCTGGCTACCGGAGGAATGGGAAGCATCATCCAAATTTTCGTCCTCCTCTTCGTCTTCCTCTTCGTCTTCCTCTTCCTCCTCCTCTTCCTCTTCGTCTTCCTCTTCCTCCTCGCTCGACGACTGCGTTTCCTCCTCGCTGCTTGCCTCAGAGTCGCTTTCCGAGTCCATTTCTATCTTCTTCTTCTTTCCGAGAGGCGCTTTGGACGGCATAATTTATCTGTGTTAACGTTGAGCAATGTGAAGATGGCCGTGAAATTATTCTGCAAGAATCAGCCGGTAGATTCATGTTCACTCTGGAATATATGTCGTCTCACGAGAGCATGGGGTTTAATGCGATGTGGAAGGTGAGCTCACGCCCTCCCCATCTCGTGTGTTTGGTGGAGTTTGGATAAAAGTCTTCCGAAGGGCATAGAGACATGTGGACGGTGGCAAAGTGGCATGAGGGAGTGACACTCATCATTGTCCCTCTTTTGTTGTGTAAAAAATGCTGAGCTTGTTTGAGGGTGAGCTCTCGTCAGACAAGTCGCTAGTCCAAGATGGGCGAGCGGGTTTGAAAGCATGACAAAGGAGGGAAAACCCAGAGGCCTTCTGTGCACGCTCTCCCTCACAGATCAGTAGGCTATAAAGGAAATAAGGAGAACGAAAATGTAAAAAAGGTGGATTCGTTGCTGAAGGCGAGGTTTAAAGGGCCCTAGGAGGAGGTGGAGGCTGGCCGTGCGTGGACTAAGACAAGGCTGGAGGCACCCTCATGCCTGCTGGACCAGTCACCACAAACCAGCAACGCGTTATCCATGCAATCATCCAGCGCTTGAAATGGCCTTCTTCGTTTCTATGATGCACAGGGGCTCCGCAGAAGTACTTCGACGTTCCGAGTGCCATTTTCCGCCATGGAGGGCTTCGCAAAGCTTCAGGCTACGGTGCAGGCGACGATAGAGACCCATTGTCCGGAGGTGCGTACCACTCGTTGCCTCACCGTTCTCTGGCAAATGTGCGAAGACATCCGTAGCTTTAACAACCTCTGGCCCAACAGGTCGCACGTTGGGACAAAGACATGTCTGGGGAGGGGCAAGACGAGGGCTCACGAGGCGTGTTGCCCACGTTGCGTGGCGCAGAGGAGGCGCTTCAGTCAGCGCATGTCCGCTATTCCCGGGTCTCGCACCTGGTCGACGTGCAAAATCGGTACCGGCAAGACTGTGGGAAACTGAGCGAGCGGGTCAAAGCCTTGTACGAGCAAGCCGCGGAGGAAGATGCGAACGGGACGGACTTAAAGCGGCAAGAAATGCACGCACGGTCGATGGCCGTGTTTGAGAAGGTCAAAGCCTTGACAGACCGCGTGCGCCGCGCCCAAGAGGCGTACCGGCGCCTGGGCATCGACGTGAGGGGTGGGGGAGGAGGGGAGGATGAAGGATTGGGAAAGGGAGTCGAGGGAGAGAGTTTAAGCCACCTCCGGCAGGAGGTACGGGACCTGGGGGAGCGCCTCCGGCAAATCCGGTACGTCGCCGGGGAGGAAGGCCTAGTGAATGGG